GAAGTAATTAAATAGTTAATTAGATGGTACAAAGGCATTATCAAAAGGGTTAACAATAGTAATCAAATTAATAATTATTTGGCTGGCAACTTGTTTGTTGAAATATAAACATCTTTAAGGAAATCTAACACCTAATTACTCTTAGTGTGTCAAATTTATCATTAGGCAATGCATAGTTGGCAACAAAAAAATTATCAAAATTTTTTTTTCTTTTTTCGATAAGAATCTCTATGACACGTTTAATAGGTTGAACCAGATCGTCTTAGATAAAATTAAAAATTAAAATCAAGTTATAATATTATATATCGTAGTGTCAAGTGTTCTTATAAATGTATACCAAGCATGTCTTTTTATGTAGCAAATAAAGAAAACGAGTGTAAAAACTATTTACATAGTACAAATAAAAGTTCTAAATTTAAATTTTATTTTCGTCCTTTAAATGTTTTATTTTTTATTTTTTAAATCGAAGTTCCTCTTTATGCTCCTATATTCCTCCTGGTTGTTGTTGCAAGAAATGGGGAAAATTTTGTTCCTCGATCTCTTGTAAATATTTTTATTACATTCCAGAATTTAATGTTTGATCGTGAACTTATTCCATTCAAAAAATAGAAAATTCACATAATTGGAAAATTAAATGCAGTAATTGATTCATAATTTTAGCCATTTAGACATGTAAAATGTGAATAATTTGTCCCATTGGATCTTGCATTATCAGTTCAATTGAAAAAAAAATGCATATAGATTATAGAATGACCTAGATACCTAAAACATTAGGACCCTATTGGATAGAAATTATAATATATATTTTTTTTTATCAAAGTTAACAATTAATTTTAATCTCATTTTTCATGAGAGTCACACATTTTCAACCACATATTTCATTAACTTTTAACAAAATTAGTTAAAAATTTGATTTTAATCTCCACCAAATAAGAGTTATATAGTAATTTTGTGAGGTTGATTGATTGTATTTTTGTATTTCTTTCATCAGTGATTTGGGATGACTTGCAAGGTTTGTTTGTCATATAAGGAAAAAAAAAAAAACTCAATATGTGACTAATATATAATATATTAAATATCGCATCAAATGTGAATCATTTTCTGGACGATTTTAGCCCCACTACAATTTAATTATTTCAACAGTACCTTATTTTTCGTTTTTAATATATATTAATTGAATATTAATTATTAAACATGTACGCAAATAAATAATTGAATTGAATGAGAATAAAAATTGATTTATGAATATTGAATTTAATTAATTTGAATCAATGAATATAGAAAAAGAATAATGTATATATATTTAAACAAATGTTGTGTAAGTGAACCAACATGGAATTTAATTAATTTGAATTAATAGATATAATAAATAATAATTTATGCCCCCGTTTGAGCCCCATTTTTTCTCATTTTTCTTGGTTTTTGGACGGCTTCAACAGTACAAATTCTGATTATTTCCCTGACTTCGTACAGCCTTTTCTAAAGTTGGCAGACAATTTGTGAATATGCCGAATCTACCCTTGTTTTAACGGTTCAGAGAAGTAGAATATGCGGGTAATAATAGTAGATATTTTGGTAAATAGTGGATGAAAAACTGGGTATTTTTGTCCAGCCAAATTTCAACGGTTCACTCACCAAAAAGTTTCTGGAACAACTCACCAAAATGTCAAATGTGGGGCCCGCAAAATGAAAAAATGAGAATGAGAAATTGGAAAAAA